ACTTAGGTGTGCCTTGTGTGTATCTACTTGGAAGACCTCAGTTACTTTTTCAGTATGTATATATGTATGTATGTGTGTGTATGTGTGTATGTGTGTATGTATGTATGTATGTATGTATGTATGTATGTCTGTATGTATGTATGTATGTATGTATATACAGATGTACCTGTGTGTACACACATACATACATACATACATACATACATACATGCATGCATGCATGCATACATACATACATACATACATAATACAGACAGACAGACAGACAGACAGACAGACATACAGACAGGCATACAGACAGGCATACATGCAGACAGACAGACAGACAGACAGACATACATACATAAATACATACACACCTACATACACACGTACATACATACGGACGTACAAACATACAGACATACATACATATGTATATGTGTATGTGTATGTATAAATATATATGTATATATATGATTCGATCTTATCCTCTATGTATATGTCTACGTATACTACATGAGACACAAAACGGTGAGTCTTGAGATCAAGGGCTCGCACCCTATGTTTGCGAATGGGCAGCTTGCTGGCGTCGCCAACCGCGGCTGTGACCCCCTTCCGAAAGCTCAACCCCAAACACAACTGTCTCTCCGCGACCCCGAGCATCGTGACTTGACTGGGAGCCCGTCGTGCCTCCGTCACTGCGACGGCTGCCTCCGCAAGGAGACTTCAACGCCTGCCTGGCATGGATGTTTGCAGCCAGCGCTTGGCGTTCCTACTAGACGGGACCTTGGCCAGATGTGAGAGTGCTCGCCTGGAGGAGGGGCAAGGCTGCTTGATCCAAAGCTGCGAGCAATCCGTATGTGTGACAATGGGCAAAGGGCAGACGACTTTCGTGCTGCCTTAAATGACAAGATGGGCGAAAGCAGTATGAAATTTCCTTCTTGCGTAGCCCGGAAGTGGTTGCTGGTGTGTTCTGTATCAACTATGGCGTGCGCTTTTGGGGCCACTGCGCGGCAGCGGTGCCAGTGGCATGGCATGCCTGGCCGACCTTCATCACTTCCTCTTTGGGGGGTCTTTGATCATTGGACACAAAACTCCTCAAGACTACGTCATGGTCTTGAGGAGCTCTGTGTCCGGCTCGGCATCTGGGAGCCTCAAAATTGCGTGTCACGGAAGCCTCGCAACACCCATGTCATAGCCTATATCGATTACCGGCTTGGTACTTCTTGCTAGAGGTGTAGGTAGGAGTGTTGAAGTTGCAAGCAGATACTCGCGTGCTGACTCATTGAAACTTGGGCAAGGCGCCGCGCTTTGAACATGAAAGTCCCATGTTCTAGGGAGGTGGCCTCTGCTTCCTTCACGGGGCACAGTGCCCTGCCTGAAACGATCATGAGCATAACCAGAAATCTTAATGCTCCTGATGCAGCAATGCTCAAGAAGGGTTCTGCGGCTTGTTTCTTCCAACCCTGATAAACAACAGTCCTCATCACTGTTGTCATCATCATTAGCATCTTTACTGTAGAACATGGGATGATGTCAGAACCGCAAGCGGCACGACGTTGCGTGAAGTCCGTTTTGTGCCGGCCCAAGCTCTTAGGCCTTTGCACATCCCTTGACCGCCATCTGGAGCCAAACAAACTTATGATGCGCGTGTCCGTCGCAGGCAGGGCAGTGTGCCTGGGCAAAGCAGATGTCACCTCCCCAGAACATGGGATCTTCAAGCCGGAAGTGGTTGCCCTAGCTTCAATGCATCCAATGTTTGCAGTTGAATTCTTCAGGGGCGTTGTTGAGTCCAGACCGCTTCTGTAAAGCGCCTCCTCTTGCTTCAATGACATTACAATGCACTCCCAAAGAGCCGTGGAAGGAAGACAATCTGTGGTAAATGGAAAATGGTTTCGGCTCGAAGGTGAGAATAATCCCCGAAAACTGAGCAGCCCCTTCAAAGCTCTCGATTCAGATGTGTGGCAAGCAGTCTGTGCAGCTGCTGGTCACTCACATGGGGAGAACCCCTCCCTGCATATGACCTCGGCATGGAGATGTTCTTAAGAGACATGTGAAGCATCAGAAGAATTAAGCTCTTGTGTTTAACTGCTTGCTAGTCACATCAATCAATGAAATCCTCCCATCCTGTGATTCCCTCCCGTTCATCAAACAAACATCAAAACATCGAGCATTTTGCTAGGGTGATGTCTACGGGGTATCTTAGCTTTTATGGCGGGCTCCATACAAGTCATACGGATAGGCGGAGATTGAACAAGAGCAGATGCATTGTCTTTGCCAGACTGCTTCATGTTGCCTGGCTTCGCTTGCCCTGGATGGAAGCATAAGACGCGTCGAGCAGCCAAGCAGAACAATCGGATTCCAACGACGCTGTCCTAATCACAGTCACAATGCCAGAAAGCAGCTGCCATTTCTTGCACGCGTAGCGCGGAAATGGTTTGTGGTCTGTATCGGCTGCTCAGCCAAACTTACTTACTGCCTCAGGCAGATCGATGAGGTTCACTGTCTGAGGAAAAGCTTCGCAAACTTGGGGAGAATTCGCCTTTGTACAAAGGCCTGGGGGCTTATCACGCTGCGCTTTTGTGCAACATGCTGTACCCGACCCAGCAGTTTGCCAGAGACTTGCTGCAAGCAGAAGCATTGAATTGTATTTGCATGCGTAGTATCGCAATCTGGTTCAGAGATCAACTACCGGTTGCTCTGGCAAGCTGCTGCCTACGCCAATGGTCTGACACAACGAGTTCGAGCTTCATTGAAACCAAGCTTCAAATAAACTAAAGACAAAGAGGGCATCAGCCACATCTTACTGACCATCCACGTCGATGACGTCGTCCTTGCCCTTGGCGTCACCGGGCGGGGGTGCCCCAGCTGCGCCGGCGTCACCGGCCGCCGCCTCGGGTGCAGGGGCGCCTCCCG